GTTAACACGTAAAAACTTAAATTAAACCCTTTCACGATAGCATAAAGTTCAATTTCATTTGCGACACAAATATACTCTGTTCTTCGCCCCGGTCTGTCTAAACGGACTTAAATACTATAGTTAAGAATCCTTTACAAAAACATCTAGACTGGTTCTATTTTTACTGGTTAATACAACCCGGTTTCTGATACGTCGATTCAATACACTATAAATACGTGAACTTTATTTAACATAATTTGGGTTAATAGTCCGAGCAAAGTGAATTTGTAGCGATTAAGTGACTTCAAAAACCGGGTATAAACATATTTTATACCTTAAATTTAAAACACAAAGTAGGCGGTTTCTGAGAAACAAATAAACCATATAAATTGCAAATTTTACATAACTTTACTAATAAAATAATTTGAAATATTATTGCATTTTCAATATTAAAAAACATCAAATATAATAAATATATATTCAGTATATATCTCACATAAAATTACAACCAATATAACAGAGATTTCATTCGCCGTATTTATATACATTGAAAAGTATGAAAAAATAATAATCATATATATATTTTAAATAAAAATAGTCGCTATACTATGAAAGCCCTATTAATATTACATGCATTATGTACGCAAAACAACAGTCTAACAGTGGTAGAGCCCGCTTTAACATCTCCGCACGAATTCTACCGGCTCGCCCGGTGAAATACCACGACCACACAGAAGACAGGCGTCAAGTGGAAGCTATTCCGCGTACAGTCTGATGAGTGTGCATCCCGGAGGCCTAATTTAGTCCTCTTTCCCTTTCCACCCTTTTCTCATAAGGAAAGGATGGGATGTGGAAGTGGACTTTCCGGATGAGAGGATGCATGGGAAGGGAAGATTTGCATATGCAATTGCGTATGTCAATGGGCAACGGTCACTTCACTATTTTAGCGACTTCAGGTGGCCGCTCGCTCGTTTGCCACCTTATGATATAAAAATAAAAAATTAACAATCGAACCTAATAATCAAACTTTAAATTTATTTTTCATACAACTAAATACGAAAATGCATCTAATTTAAAGATAAGATTTTAAGACTTCTTTAAATCGATGGATTATAAATTTTACATTAGTTAAAGTCGGTTTCTGAGCTTTAAATCTCTGTAAACATTTTATCCCTGTCATTATCTATAACAAAAAAGAGATAACGTTATTTAAAACGGAGATTTAGGTCTCGGAAACCCACGGTTAATCAAATATATATCAAGTTTGATTATTGCGTTCGTACGTATAAGATTTCACGCTCGTATCAATAGAAGTCTATATGTTTAAAAGATTTCAAATATAACTACAAATAAAGAAAATCAGCTATCTTTCTCGATAATTACGTTATTTCTAGACAAGTTTTTCTTTACGGTTTTTGTTCAGTACAAAGCCTGTATTAGCTGTATCCAATATAATACGGTCGTGAAACTTATTTTAAAAATTAATCTCTTTTTACTTAAAATCCAAATAAAGAAAAAAACTTATTAAAAACAAATTAGCACCTGCAATGAATTGAGTACATCATCCTACACTTTTAGAGTCCCCACTGCCGAAACATGTTGAATACATGTTTCGATTGAATGCCTGTATTAGAGGATGGCGGCCGTATTATTTGACCTTCAGTTATTTTGTAAAAATATTATTAAAATGATTTCTCCTATTTATTAATATGCGTGTACTAGTAATAGGCCGCGACTCCGTCCGCGTTGTTATATAAAACAACTTAGTATCCTATGTGTTCTTCCAGACTAAGTTTATCTAGGCTACGTTTCATCGAGATCCATGCAACCATATATAATATTAGTATGATTTACTTATTTTAGTGTAAAATGTAATTAGTCTATGGTTTAGAAACCAAACTTAAATTGTTTCCTAAACTGAACCGATTTTGACGAGTGAGTTGTCACTCCATTCTACCTCTGACCGTGGGTTTCTAAGACTAAAATTTCCGTTTGAAACATATATCTCTGTTTCGTCAACTATAATGATAGAGATGAAGATATGTTTTATGTAAAGACTAGATGCCGTCCGCGTGAATTTAAAAATAACTCGATTAGTAGCCTATATAATCAAGATCCGTTGAGCCGTTCTGGAGATACCTACATCCATCCATACATCTAAACATTCGCATTTATAATATTAATACGATTTTGGTATTAGAAACCCATAGTGAGTGTCGTAATTTTTTTAATAACCAAAAAATATATAAGTATTTCGACAGTGGGAACTCGTCAATTACAGTCACACACAAAAGTGTTAACTAATTAGAACCTACTAATCTGGGGTTCACTAAAATCACTAACTCCGCTGAAAATACCCCTAAATAATGTTTAATTTTACTAATACTTTTGGTACGAGAAACATACGTATAAATTTAATACGATAATAAGCTGCCATAGAGAAAAAAAGTAATAAAAATATATTTTATGATTTCTAGCCCAATAATAGCTATAAGACAAAAAAAAATTATAGTCATAGTTGCTGCAAAAAATAAAAAAAAACACTTACCCTTAATTACATCCTAAAGCTATTATTTCAAAGTGAATTACATTATCTATATTAAATCTATTTTTATATTTATTAGAAACTAACTACCATCACCTAAATTTAAAAAAAAATAACTGATTTAACGATTTATTTCACGACTGTACTGAAAATATTAAATTTCTACTTATAAATGAAGACAAATCACAGACAAATAAGTAAAAAAAAAATGGAGAATAAAATATGTAACATAATTTCTTACAAAATAATTCACAAAAAGTACAAAAAAAAAACAGAAAAAATTCCGTATTTATATTTAAACATTTGATTTCTTAATCAATTCAATTTTCATAGATAAAATAATAATTTACTCAATCTTTTATACACTCCATAATATTTCAACACAAATCTTTATAATAATACAGTTGAACCTGGATAAAGAAAAGTCCAAGAGACCGCGATATTTTTCTCCCTCATAGAGGTTTCTCTCTTACCCGAGTTTCTCGTTTTTAGAGGTTTCTCTCTTACCCGAGTTTCTCGTTTTTAAAGGTTTCTCTCTTACCCGAGTTTCTCGTTTTTAAAGGTTTCTCTCTTACCCGAGTTTCTCGTTTTTAAAGGTTTCTCTCTTACCCGAGTTTCTCGTTTTTAGAGGTTTCTCTCTTACCCGAGTTTCTCGTTTTTAGAGGTTTCTCTCTTACCCGAGTTTCCCAGAGGTATCTCACTCACACGAGTTTCACGCTTATAGTGGTTTTTCTCTTACCCGAGTTTCTCGCTTATATAAGCTTCTCTCTTACCCGAGTTTCTCGCCTATAGAGGTTTGTCTCTTACCTGATTTTCTCACTTATTCAGGTTCTACTGTAAACACACAGAGAAATATTGCAACAAATATAAATTCATATATCAGAGAAACATACTGTAACCTGTTGTAACAGTGGGATAACATGTTTTTATACATGTTTTCCTACATTGAAAACTCACTGTAATCCTATTGGCCTGCAAATAGTGGAATATATTCTAAATAGAGTTTAAATTACTTATGTGTGTAAATTGCAATCTCTCAATGAATATATTTAAAACTACACCGTTCTTGTTTTAATAAGCGTTTTCACTGCAGAAACATTTTAATAGAAACATAATCTTGAATATATTTTTATCGTATATATATAAAAAAAAGATGGAGAATTTTATAAGTTGACATATTTGAGAATCAATTTTGTAAATTTCATTTTTAAGGTTCTGTACATCGAAAGGAAAAAACGGAACCCTTATAGGAATACCTTATCTGTCCGTCAGGACTATTTTTCTCAGGAACGCGTAAAGATATCAAGTTAGGAATTTATTTATTGTAAATTTTAAACGAATTTATATCAAAAAAATATCTTCTGAGGTTTTTTCGTCTTACTTTTGTCCTATGAATTATACATCTATGGTAATTATGACATATATTCATTCAGAGATTTAACAGTTTGTCCGTTTTATTTTGACAAAATGTGTAAAATAAGTTATATTTTCCATTTTTCTCATCTAAATTACAGTATTTATTTCTTAAATAACAAAACCGATTCATAGTTCTTTGAAGTCCATAAAGTACCACATTAAATTTCATACAAAAATTAATTAAATACTTAATAGACTTCAAATTAATCAGAAAAAAAACGGACAAACATATTTACAATTTACGACAAACTTTAAACACCAACACAATATTAAAATCATTGATATATAAAAACTATATAAAAATAACACCAAGTAAATACAATATTACCAACATAGCAAATAAATCTGATAGAATATTACAATGGACGTAAATTTTCTTTAATTACTTGAAAATAAAAAACGGAATTAAAAAAAATACATTTAGGCGATATTTTTATAGAAAAAAAACATAATTAATATAATATATAGAGTAAAAGACAAAAATGTACTTTTATGATCCAAATCAAAAGTTATTTTGTAAACAAAGAGTTTGTTTAAACTTTTGTGATTACTAAAATAAGCAAAACAACTTTATCATACTAGCAATTGCCCGTGATTTTGTCCACACGGAATTAAAAAAAAATAGTAATAAATATAGCTCATATGTTATTCATGTTGAATGAAAGAATTTAATTTCGGAACCTATTCAATGCAAATAAATCTTTCCTCTTTATAATCTTACTAACTATCGCCCGCGACTTCGACCGCAAAGAATTTAAAAAAAAAATAGTAATCTATATGTTCTTCTAGACTATTCTCTACATCAATACCAAATTTCAGCCTTTTTAGGAGCCGTTCCGTAGATACCTTCAAACAAACATCTATCCACCTAATCATCCAAACATTCACATTCATAATATTAGTAAGATGTAAGATTCATTAGATTTGAGTATAGTCCCGCGCGGACAGAGTCGCAGGAAACCGCTAATCTTACTATTGTTTGGAAGAAAATCCGGCACAGTGCCGGTGTACTGGCGCAACACTAGCCTTACTAAAATGTCAACGTTTATGTCCCCTCACTAATCATTCTGACTCTTCTAAAAGTATAGATTTATTATTCAGCTTAACTCAAAATTACTATATTCTCGAAAATAATAGCTAAAATTATAATTGTATACAAAATGTAACTTTTGATTTGGAACTACAACAATTTAAAATTTAACTTATATACTTAGTTATGTAATAAAGGTGCATTGAATATAATAAATAAGGTTTGTTCGTTGTGAGGTGATCTAGTCCGGCGGCAGGTAACTGAACAGTTTGTATTTGTCCCTGATGTACGGCCTCACGTCGTCTTTCTGAAATATTATATATATATTTATAAGTGCTTTATATATAAAAATGACTAAACCTCATCAGCTCACTATACGTCCCCACCGAGGTGCTCGGAGCCTACCCTAAGTTAAGGATGATTAGGCCATAGTCAACCACACTGGCCAAGTGAGGGTTGGTTGACTTCACACATATCTTTGAATTACTTCTCAGATATGTGCAGCATCACGATGTTTTTCTTCACCGTAAAAACCCCGGATAAATGTACATATATAAATCGGAAATCGAAAAAAGAAATTGGTTAGTGGCGGGAAACGAACCCAGGATCTGCAGATTGCAAGTCAATTATTTCCGTCATTATGTTTGACAAAACAGATATAACAATGTTTTGGAACGGGGATTGTGGTCTCGGTAACCCACGGTTAATTACTTTTAAACTGTAATTGAACAATAATAAAAACAATTGTTTAAATCAAATACTACGTTTAGCAAGTTTATTTTTTATTTTTAATATAGTATACTATTAGGTTCAATCCGATCATTTGACACCTACTTTTAGTAGGTAGTAAAAATATGTAATCCGCCATTTTTTAATGGCGGCCATCTTGTATTTATTCAGTATACAATACTCAACACATCTAGCTGTTTTATTTGATACCCATTTTTTCAAAAATATATCAAGCCGCCATTTTGTGAAGTTGGTCATATTGAATTATTGACACTACTCGTGAAGCCCATTCTTTTGATACTGAATGAATACGTACAGTAGCGAGGTGTTCGAGGAAGGGCAGTAACTTCAGCAGCTCGTTGTCGCTGCGGTCCACGAACCAGCTGTCGATTGGGATGCCGTTCTCCAGTTGATAACCAAACGCCTGTGAAAAATAGCATTTAAGTAAATTGGCTAAATAGTTAAATCATTCTTACAGTTATATTTCTAGAACAAAATATAACCAATAGAGTTATAATTTAACAAATATATATAACTATGTCATTTCAGACAATTAGATTTGTAGAAAACCGCGATTTCATTGCTTTTATCTCATTTACATTATAAGGATAAAATAAATCAAGACATAAAACAAAAAATAATGGCGTAGCCTTAGACACCCTATTCAAAGGCAGCCAACTTCAGAGAGCGCACCCAATCCGGTAATAATAACGAAGTAATGGCCTGAGTCGAGGTTCCTGAGGCCTTCGAGCTTGGTTACTCTTAAACGAGGTTCAAGCTAAGCGTCATCTGCGCTCGTCCACCTCAAGCCCGGTGAAGCTGTAAATGCCTCGTCAAGGCAAACAGTGACTCAGTCACAAAAAAACAAAATAATAAAAAGAGCGTCGAAGTATTGTGCATATTAAAGGCTGATTGTTAGTTCGTAACTTAGTAAAATTGCTAAAACTTTATTTAGTAGAAAGATAAACCTAATTCTGATTCTCTTTTTTTTATTAAATGTTGGTTATAATTCCTTATGTAAGTTTTTACTTAAATATATATTAATATAGTATTTATGTCACCTGTGGGCTGTTGTCGACTATGACAGTCTTGCGCAGATCCCGGCCCAGGATGCTGAGGTCCTTCACGTAGTTGCCGTTCACCAGCAGACAGTGCTCGCGGAACAAGCTGCAAGTTATTCATGATTATTTTTCAATATATCATTCTGTTGCAAAAGTTTTATTTATAACTAGCTGTAGCCCGCGGCTCCGTCTGCGCGGACTACTAAAAAAAACTTAATAAGTAGCTTTAGCATTTTTCCAGGCTGTTCTATACGCCAAATTACAGTGACATCCATGCAATCGTGAGATACCTTCTGACAAACATCCATCCAAACATTTATAATATTAGTAAGAGTAAGATTTAATTTTTTGGCAGCTGATCATGGCTGATCTACATCCCTCTACACCTCAAAATCAAGCATTGTGTCTGTTATTTTATATTCCTAATCACCAAGTTATTAAAGAAATGTAATATGTATTTCATCATCAGCTCACTATACGGCCCCAACTGAAGGGATGAGCCTACCCTAAGGGTGACTAGGCTTTATTAAAAATATGTATTTACCGATATTTAATCCAGCGTCGAGCAGGGTCGAGCAGGTTGAGCAGACGGTCGGCGTAGACTCGCTTGCTGGCAGTGAACAGGATCACCTCGTAGGTGCGAGACACACGCGACAGGAACTCCGCGAAATGAGGCCGTGTGCGCACAAATACCTACATACATACATATATGTCAAACAATTACCTTATATATTTAAAATAGCAATATTGTTGGTTTCTGAGACAAAAATCTCTGTATAAAACATATAGTCATCCTTGTCATTATATTTGACAAAATAGAGGTAACTATGTTTTAAATGGGGATTTTAGTCTTAGAAACCAAGCGGCCGCCAGATTTCGGCGAAATAGCGAAGTGACCGCTGCAATGGACATCCGCAATTTCAGATCCTTTATTCAATGGATGGATGGATTCTTTATGGAATGGGTAACACACAGAAAGTGAATATGTCCCCTTCCTATGGATCCACTTGTGCATCAAAATTCACTTCCTCATCTCATCTTTTCCTTATAAGCAGAGTAGGAGAAGAAATAGATTTCAATTACTCCAAAATGTACAACATTGGTGTTATAGTGGTCCTTCTAGATGGCACTGAATTTGTATGTCAATGTATGAGTGTGGGAGATGTACTTACAGTGTATCTGCAGTCCTGGAAGAGCACTGGGAAGTGGAAGCTGGCATCAGGCAGCTCCTGCAGCGAGCAGTGCACCAGGGTCTCGTCCAGGTCCAATACCTGCACACATACATAAACTTTCCAACTAAATCATAGTTTAAAGATTTATTTCTCAAACAAGTGGTAGCCCGCCACTTTATCGACACAAAATTTTAAAAGTAGCTTATAATATGCCTGCTTCCATCAGTATTTCTGTAAAAATCTGTCCAATGGTTCCAGAGATTAACAAACAAACATAATTGATTTTTTGTTTACATCAATGTAAAAACATCATGGGTATGGAATATGATTTTTTTCTATATAAGAAACTGAATTATTATAATAATAGCTAGATAGACTGTGTACTCGGTTATTTAAACTATATTTTATTGTTGGTTCCTCTTACTATATTCACTTAGGGGACTTTCTAACTCTGAGTATGGCATAGCTTATTAAACATTAATATCTATGTAATATATAAAGACTTACGAGACTGAAGTCCGGGCTGGTCCTGGTCTTGAGCGGCAGCGCGGGGTAGCGAGCTCGCAGCGCGCGAGTTGACACGCTCTCCAGCGGAGGCAACTGACAATAAATATTACATCATTATAGCATTCATTTTTAATCCTAACTTATAATGAACTAGCTGTCGCGCACGACTCCGTCCGCGCAAAGTTAAATAAATAATTAGTACCACATGTATTCTAGACTATGTTCTATATCTATGACAAATTTTATCAAGATCTGTTGAGCCGTTCAAACAAACAAACATCCATCCATCCAAACATTTGCATTTATAATATTAGTAAGATTTACCTGTTTAATAAATAGATAGGGATCAAATGCATCCACCCATGAGGATATCTGCTCGCAGTCTACACGGTTGCCGCACGAAGATATCACATCCAGACCTTCCTCCTGATAACAAAATAACTATTATAGTACAAAATTTTATTAAACTATAGTCTATATCTTAACCCTTTAACAGTCATAAGGAGTGGACAGTGGAAAAATAAAATTGATAATGGTTAAGGGAATATAATAGAAGTAAAAACATATGTATATATATATATATATATATATACATATATATTTATGTTGGGAAATATATTCCCTCTACCGATCAGATTCTATTCTCAATTGTATGCTCTTTTCTATTACTGTAATTATATACAATAATTTATTTTTGGTTGTAGGTAGTTTGGTTTGGTGGTCCCAGACTTATTTAAAATGTTAGTTTCATCTTTATATATATAATTCTCCTGTGAGTATGTCACTGAACTTCTCTCAAACGAGTGGACCGATGTGTGTTCAAGGGTATCTGGGAATGGTTTAGATTCACAATTTTGTCCGCTGGACAATGTTTTTTTAATTAATTTTTAAATTTATTAGTAGTTGTTGATTTTGGCATGTTTTACATTGGATCCGACAGACGGCGCTACCATCGCAGTGTCAAATATTAAATAATATTCAAATTAAAGATGTGTAGATAGGACAATGTCTGTCGGGTCTACTGGTTAAAATATAATTTTTTCAAAATAAATCCATAGACAACTAAATATGCCGTAATTTCTCAATACCATTGAATTGGATTTTATATCTTTATATCTTTGTAACAAGTAAAAAAAAAAGTATGGAATGACTGTGTGAAAGAGGATATGCGTAAGAAGGGGGTAGACTCGGATATGACGGCTGATAGAGATGTATGGAGGAGTAGTACATGCTGTGCTGACCCTCGATAGGGACAAGGGCAGGTTGATTATATCTTTGTAACAAGTGGATGTGGTAGAAATAGGAAAGGGAAACTTCCTATCCTCAGTCTATCAAACTTCGAAAACACAGGTACAGATATCAATTCAATTATAATATTCAAATGAACAAACTAAAAAAAAATTACCTCAACATTAGCAGATTGGTCATCATGGCAGACCATATTTGAATCATCGGGAACTATCTCTGTGCCATTCTGTAAAGAAAATTAACAATATGAAAACACAATCATCATTTTAAATGCATTGTGGAGAAAAGGTCGAGGAGAACGATCTAAGTAAGTGGCGCTAGCATCGAGTGGGCTGTCATCTGTCTTTGTCAAATTTTTTAAATGTCAGCGATTTAAAAAAAAAACTTTTTTCATTTCTTGTTATGAATAATTTATGAAATATGTCAAAAAAAATACTTAATTTTGAATTATATGAGAGAAATTTAACTGAAGTCATTGCTATGATTGCAGTCCAGAGTATTTTGTATGTAAAATAAAGTGTTTTTTTCTATATCTATGGTTTATTTTGCTTCCACTTTTAATGATAGTAAACAAAAGGCAATTTTTCTCAATTCACTTACCCAGCCCGCAGCCTCTGCAACAAGACTCTGACTGATCTCAGCGAGGAAGCCGGTGCTAGGGCTCCGTGCGGACAGCGCCTCCAGACTCTCTATAGCGGTGCCTTGAGTGTCTGTGCATGTTGAGGAGATCTCGCACTCCGGATCCCGAACATAGCCATCCTGCTCCAGCATTGACACAAAGTCCGGCTGTGTAACAATGTTAGTTTATTGTGATTTTCCATTATTAAGATTCACATATGAATATATGTTGCATTATAATGAATATATATTTGAGAACTGTAATGTAATGCACACTTGGAGACATATAAGTGTTCTTCCAGGCTATGTTCTACATTCATGCCAAATTTCAGCAAGACACATGCACACATTCTGGAGATACTTCAAACAAACATCCATCCATCCATCCACACACATTCATATTTATAATATTAGTAAGATAAGAACATTAATTTTAAAAATCATTTAAACATACCTGCATATATTTATCCCCATTGGTTAGGAAATTGGTGCACACATCTAAATCATCAGTGGTAGATGTTGGCTGATACATCTCCAAATCATTGCTTGACTTCCTTCGTTTCATCAGCCTTTTATCCACAGAGTTCTTCCGAGGCAACTTTTTATCATCATCTTTCTCCGTAGTCATCACCCTAGCAGCTTTATCAGCTAAGAAGTTTATATCGTCATCATCAGCTGGTAATCTTTCGTTGATCAAACCAGCACATTCTGCAATAGCCATGAAGTCATTCAAACAATCATTCGGCAGACATAGTTCTGAAGACTCTACTTGAGTTTCCGAATCAGAATCTTCTTTAACCAAGTCATTTGTAGTTGTATGTGGTTCGTACATTGTCACATCATCATCTACACTACTCCAGTTATTTTGTTCCGGTACAATTGGCTCCTTAGCTTTGCATTTCTTTTTCGGACTTTCCTTAGTTGCGTTTAATGCTGTCTTAACTTTCTGAGATGGTATTCCCAATTGACGTACTTTACGTATTGGTGAGCTATTTAATGATGCTGATTTGTCAGTCTTATCAATCCGTCTTGTTTTACGTGGAGATATTGTTGCTGATACAACATCTGAGCGAATCAGCTCCCTGTTCAGAGAGCTGTGACGTAGTTGAACACCTTTCGTTGTGCGCACATCATTTGCTTTTATTCTAGATGTTGTTGACACTTTTTCATTTTGCATAGTTTTTGTTTTTACTAAACTTGATGAGACATTATCTTTTATAGAGTTTCGTACCACTGTCTGGAAGATTGGTTTCTTTGGACCATCATCTTTGAGTTTTTGTTTCTTGTTCAACACTTGCCCTGACCTTTCCATGATTGCTGTTTTGATCCTTACTGGTTTAGTTTTTAAATTTCTTTTAGAATGTCCGATAGAAAGCAGAGACCCGCTAAGTTGGACTGACTCATTTCTAGCCGCCGTACGTCTTAAAATATTCTTCCAAGTTGATGAATCTTTAAATTTTCGAGTTTTAGTGGTTTTGGCCTTCTTTATAATCGGGAGCGGTCGCTCCCTTTTTCGACTTCTTAGCCGCATCGCAAGTTAAATAGACTACTTAACCTGAAATATCTCAATTCATAAATAAGACAACATAAACATAGAAAATATGTTGAGATGGCTCTAATCAACACTTACATGAACTCTCTCTTTTCACCAAACACTGTGCATCAAATATTGAAATTGCAATAAGTACTGAAAGGAGATATATCATCTTTCAAGTTAAGTTTTATGAAGAATTTCACTTTAGCTGTTTTTCTTAGATGACAAAATGGTTTATTTCTTTCGCTCCTAAAAATCGGCGCGGCAAAAATCTTCGCGCCTTTTTTTCACAAAACTGTTTTCTTCAGTTTTACACTATATTGTATATTGAGTTAATTATATAAATGACTTAAACATTATTGTTCCAAATCAAGACACATTTTATCAACGGGAAACGAAAATAACTTTAACAAACGCGAAAATAGAAAAGCGGCACTGGTACATTATTGATTTATGCGCCAATCAGCAGAAATATATCTTTTGAATTGGTGTTAAGTTTATGATTAATATCATCACTGTACTAATGAAACCACTAATTTAAATAGCTAAGTTAGCATTTAAATCGACATTACATGATGGATTTTGTTGCGGAACACAAAGCTAAACAAATGTCAAAATGGCGGACAACACTCTACTATTTTATATACTCTTTGATTTTCTGCTTGATTTGGTTTGTCTATAGATGGCGTTTTATCGCAGCGCATGCGTTTTGACAGTGCTTGAAATTAGGAAAAGTCAATAAGAAATATGAAAATAAGGTTTTTAAATATTATTAACTTTCACTCTTTTATTAAAGTAACGTTGCATTGTATTTTCTTTGTAAATATAGGAAAATATATATCAAGATTAAATTTTTAACGAAAATTGAGTGTTAATCATGGATGTATTTCAAATATACCTTTGTTTATTGTCTGTCAGAAAAATAAAAAACGTAGTTTAAAATATTTTTGTCAGTTGTTTTTAAAAATTCTCATATAGCTGATGTTAGATGGTGTTATTTTATTTAGTAACGAGTGAATTATCATAAACTTAGCGGCATTAAGTACCCGTATGCTACAAAACACACGTTTGTTTGTATTATTATAACGTAAAATGTCAACTAAATCATTTAATTCCAACAAAGGCGAAGTACGATCAAGTATCTAAAATTATTGCACGATTACTTATAGGAGCAAACTGTACCCAAACCTAATACAAAATTACTGATTGCAGAACACGGCTGAACTAATGCAAGAAATAGAAAGTGTACGTGCGATGAACGATAGTTTACGCGCTTATTTGGAACATATTCGAACATTCAAAAAAAATCTCACGACTCTAAATGAAAATTGTAAACAACTTACGAATATAAACGAGCAATGGATTGACATGAATCGTATAATGAAGAAATAACATAGAAGTATGAGTTAATTAAGTTCTACAATTATAATATAAAGTGAAACTGCTGTTGATGTAGGATACAAAACATGGGTGGTACATAAAGGAACACATTTTCAAGTACTTTAAGATGCTTAAGTTCATTTTCATGTTCTACAGTAATGTGACAAACATTTTAAGGTTTCTTAACAAAAACACATGAATTTAATTTTTTGCCTCATCTTTACTAAAAATCTATTGCATTCATATTAATATTTTTATGTAAAATATTTATAGTATGTATTAGCACAAATGGATAGAGATTAAAGATTGTATTGGGTTTGGCCATGGCATATCTATTTTCAATGTCATCCCGATAAGAACACATCTAGTAGTAATATTGGTAATAAATTAAAACACAAATTATCGGTGAACAGTTTTATTATGTTCATTGAATGTTAAATAAAGTCTGGATATTCTGCAGCAGAAGTAATAGCAACACCAATGTGAACACAATGTTAGGTAGAATAATTCCCTTCTATTAGATTCTCTTTGGATCCAGTCTTTGTTGGAGTTTTTTCTGGAACAAAATCACTTATTAGGCTAATATTTAGCTTAAAGTTATGGTAATAGGTTAAAGAAACATAATTTTACTATCTTATATTATAAATGTGAAATTTTATTTGGATGGATGAATATTTGTTAGAAGATATCTCTAGAACAGCTCAACTGATCTTGATGAAATTTAGCACAGATGTAGAACATAGTTTGCAACATAAAGGGTACTTATTAAGTTATTGTGATGATTCAGTTGTGGGCGACAGCTAATGTTTAATATTATTTGACTTTCTAAAGTGGAATGATAATGATAAAAAGTAATATCTTACCAATCATGCAAATGGAGTATTGTGGGGTATCACAGGACATTCCGTAGACTAAACCGTTGAGATGGTCCTGACGGTCCAAGTTCAGGCAAGGGTTGTCCATAGAGAACTCCTCGTCCAGCCATGGTGGCAACTGGTAACATACAAATCATTGTAACATAAATTAACATTTATTATCTAGTGAGGTTTATCAAAACTAAACTATTTAGAGAAAAATTGGATGTCTATGCTTCAATTTAAATTACGAAGGGTAAAAAAGTATAGATGTTGAGCATCTTAACTATGTTAGATAAAAGATTTGTTTCCAACGATACCATACCTTGTTATTTGAGGAGAAAATCATCTCAAGGGCCAATTTATTTTACTTACATATGAAGAGTGACTGACTTCAGGTGGGGGAGTATTATCTTGGGATGGAGGAGTATCTGAAGACGCCATCCTCTCAGGTCGAGTGGTGACCTTGTGGTGACGGCAGGGAGTCCCCGGATGCATTGCTTGGTGATCCGCGTGCTGTGGGCATCGGGCCTATGTCCAGCAGGGGACTCATACTGACTGATGATGGTGATGATGATGAAAATAATACTTACGAAAGACGCGAACATTGCTTCCCCTTCGCTCTTAGAATCTGGAATCCTCTTGCCGGTGATGGGGTTCTGCCAGGCGTACGTCACCAGGTCGGAATTGGGGTCTTTCGTCATGTTCAGACGACCGGAGATCCAAATGTGCTCAACAGCTAAATATTTAAAAACATTCAAGTTAATATAAGAACTGGGTCAAGTGTTTTATTGTAACAAATTATTATTGTCCATAGCAAATTTGTTTTATTTTCTAATTAATTTAATTTAATATTATGTTTAAGAAATCTAATTGTGAAATTCAAAACAGACGGTGTTGTTTCTTGTCTATAAAATCTGACAATAGATGGCGTTATTTCATTTTATCTTAGAGGGCAGTTGGTGCCGTTCCTATCTATGGCATGTTTCGACACTAGATGTCGCTACTTGCTTTTAGTTTGACATTTGACTCGGGTTTTCTGCAACTACTTCTTTTCGATACTAGATGGCGCTATGTCTAATTGAATCACTCACGTTCATCCTTATTTTCTCCCATGACAAGAAGTAACTGGACTAGAATTTCGTTGCTATCGATGCTGGCGAGTGTTCCGTTCAGCTTGAGGCAGTTCTCGTAAGCGTGCTGCCAGTAGTATAGCTGACGCACCAATATGTAATAATAGTTGTCATCGCTGGGGATGGGTATCGGGCGACGCATGCCGGGCACACCTGTAAACGTACGTCCAACAGAAAATATAAACATATTTAATAAAGATTGTTATGTAACTTTAAATCTATCATTATCATTAAATGTTAATTTCCATTATTAAGATACATCTAATGTTTATAATCTAATATTACAACTGCTCGTGCTCAATAACATGTAACAGCAGAATTCTTATACACAAATATATTGAAATACCGACGCTAGATGGCGCTGCATCAATTCTCATGTTACTGCGCACTAGTAGTATAGTGTCCTTAGTATTTGCGCAAAAAAAGACACTATTTGTATACTTTCCTCCAATTAAAAAAACGTAACACCGTGTCTACATTACAAACGAATTAAGAATGACATAAAAAACGACTCCGATTGTTCTACAAGTAACTAGGCGAGTCTACTGCACAGGATATAGAACAGTGCCTTGGGTATTCGCGCAAACACAGAGGCACTCACTCTCATCCGGCGGACCTAATTGGAGGTAATGCGCGCGCGCAATCATCGCCTCTGAGGGCCTGTACAAACCAGTCAGATCTGAAAACAAACGCTAAACTGTACAACTAATAACACGAAACAACACGCTTGCTATAAACAACACAACTATGGGGTTTCACTGTCAAATTGTATGAAAACATATTGCCATCTCCTTCACTCTTTTAAAGTTAGTAGAGACAACAATATTACATTTTAATACAACAGCTTAAACAATGAATTCTATATAAAAAACTTTAGTACAAGTGCACAATAACATAATAGTCGTATGAAAAAGTTAAACATTAAATTGACTACTTCTAGAAATAAATTCTATAAATGACATTGTGACGTCATCACACTGGTATATCTCGTTATTGTGCACGCGTATCAAAATTGTTACACAAGCGAGCTACTTCTACAAACTACAAACAATTTGTTAACACGCGCAATACAATTATATCTTGTTCAATCGATACGAGATATATTTTGACATATGTAGAGCCATATAAACTGTGGACTTACCACAATTTGAATATTTTATGTTACATTGTAACAATAATAAACACTTACTTTTGTAGCAAATGAATTGCATCCTCCTCTCGCAGCGCGCCTCAAGGAACACTGGATCGTTGGTCGTATGCCGGTCCAGTTGCAGACAGCCGCTCTGTTTTATTGTAGACCTGTCTCTGATACAACACAATGTACATTTCAAATCAATATCCATTTTTACGACGGCAAACTAATTTACATTAGTTCAAATCTATAAACACAATTATATTATGTAGACAGTGGTAGAACCCGCTTTAAAATCTTCGCACGAATTGGCCCGGCTCGCCCGGTGAAATACCACGACCACAAAGAAGACAGGCGTGAAGTGGAAGCAATTTCGCGTTTCGTCTGATGAGTGTGCGTCCCGGAGGCCTAATTTAGTCCTCTTTCCCTTCCCACCCTTTTTCTTGGAAGTGGAAGTGGATTTTCCGGATGCGAGGATGCATGGGAAGGGAAAATATTTTCTTTCTGTGAATCCTTTCCTCCGTCGATTAAAGGTAGGCAACCCATATGCAATTGCGTATGTCTATGGGCAACTTTGCTATTTCAGCGATTTCAGGTGGCCGCTCGCTCGTTTGCCACCTTATGATATAAAAAAAAATGTCGCAACACTGAGTCGTATTATTGTTATATAAGCAGTCCCTTAATATAGATTTCACACTAAAAATGCACTTAGTGCATTGTAGTAGTAAGAGAGATATGGGTACGTTACGTCCAACTCTACCATCGCCTTTCAGTATTAAAAGTCTCATGTTCGGTTCACAATTTATGTTACCTCATGGGAGGCCAGATGTCGGACATCATGTCTGTGTAGGTGGTCATCTGGAAGATGCTGAGACCGGAGTCGATCCACGTCCAGTGACCCAGGTTGCCCTTCGCTCCAACCCATGCGCTCTCGATACCTGCGCACGCGCAATTAGTTTAGATGGAATTAAAACTTTGGAGGACTTTTCCGGAGTTATATCTTAATTTATACAAGATGTAGATTGAATAAGTTGTTTTATGGAATAAGATAAATGATTTTTTCACTATTTTTTTGATAATTTATTATATTTAATTTAAGAAAAAAACTTACTCGGTCTAGCCTTCAGCATGCTTAGTCCCAGTTTCCTCAAGCATCGCATTGTGCCGATGTTTGCTAACCTGCGAACACAAAATTAATTTTACGTATTATCTCTATGTTTTAAAGTGTCCTCTCTTTCTTTTATTCTCTCTCTCATTCTTTTTTTTTGTATTGTGGAAACAAATACTTACGACATCTTCTTGACAACGCAGAAGGCGGCTGCCTGATGCCAGTTGAGCCTCCCGTCGTAAACATGGTAGAGACCAGTGCGGCAGCGGACAGTACGCACCTCCTGTACCGCCACGTCTTGCTTCGCGTCTACACATAACATTACATGTTGATGAAAGGTAAACAACCCCAGCGATAGCGTTAGTTGCATCAACCTAGAGATGTCATAACATATAGAGATGAACAATTGTTGTCTTTTCTTTTGGAAAAATGGCTATATTGGCGCGACACAAACAAAATATCGTAATAATTTTACTGTATTTAAACGTCTTATAAATTGTTTGATAGAAATATCTCCGCTTATTATCAAAGTACAAGTTAACTTTGGTTTATTACAGCAGATGAATATAGAATGTTACATCTTACCTCTCTCGCAGACAAAGGGTCGCTCCAGCTGACAGGATAGGTCCAGGAAGACAGGCTTGTCGTGCTGCACGCGTTCTAAAGCAACGCAGTCAGCGCCGCCCTCCGGCACCGGCACGTGTGTACGATTCAACCACTGTTATAAAAATCATATATAAAAAACAAAGTTACATATTTCACACAAGTTTAACAAAACCATTACTTATAGCTTATAAAATATACTTAAAAGTTTATAAACAACAAGATGTTATTAATAATTATTATTATCTTTACATATGGAGTTTCGTTTCAAGTAAATGTAGCCTTTAAGTAACTTAAACGAAAATATTTGTTTACGAAAAAGGTACATCTAATTTTTAAGTTTGTTAAAATTTGTAAACCTTACTATCTTACTAATGTTACAAATGCGAATGGATGGACGTTTGTTTGAAGGTTTGAAGGTATGGAATGCTTGAATTAATCCCGCTGAAATAAGTCATAGATGTAGAACATAGTCTGGAATAACAGGTAAGCTACTAATTCAGTCTTTTTAGTTCCGCGCGGACGAAGTCGCGGGTGACAGCTAGTATATTTTAAAATCTGTTAGGATAATTGTAAAACTAACCAAAGGATAGTGTCTGACAGCGTTTTCGTCTTTTTCGTTCTTTAGTATATCGGCGGCGGTGCGGCGCAGTTCAGAGCCGCGACTCCAGCGGTAGCCCTCCGGGTCCTCGCTCGACTCCCGTCGTGCGCCAACCCACACTGCGTCTATCTCTGAATATACAACCTAATTAGTAATATATGGAAGAATATCCCTCTCTTAAAACATGTTTGTCAAAGATAATGTCAGGGATGACGTTATATTTTATACAGAGATTTTAGTCTCAAAAACCAACGGTTAGTCGTAAATCATAGAGTTATTACCTAATTGAGATTCCGATAACGCCTCAGCAAGGAAATCGGACTTTTCCTTTGTATCAAGCGTCGCCAAATTTCCATTGTGGTGTCCTCTGTAATGTTTAAGAAAAGGTTTTTAGTGTCAACATCATACTAATATTATAAATGCGAATGTTTGGATGCAAGTTTCTTTGAAGGTATCTCCGGAACGGCTGAATCGATGAAATTTGCCACACATGTAGAGCATAATTTGGAAGTACATAGGCTACTTATTACGTACGGACGTAGTCGCGGGCGACAGCAATTATATAAAGGCACAATTGTTGTCCCTCTCATTCTCTTGTAAAGAATAGAGATAAAAATATGACGCAATATATGTCACGGCAGTGGAATTTCAAGGGAATGTTTCAATAATTTTTAAATGATGATATTTTTATTCTTAAATCTTAAACAATAAAAATTGCATTTATCTAATGTAACCTTATTGTTTCTATTTAACTATTGTATCTGTAATAAGATTTGCAATGTTTGAAAAAAAAATTCACGCGCGTTACTCATAGGGGTAGGCGTCATTTTTTGGAAATTTAAGGTTGTTTATATCTCTTTTCTCAAATTACTTTAACTACATTTAATTGAAATGATAAGGAATCTATTATAAGATAGTATAATATATATTTAATATGGCACGTTAACGGTGGGTTTCTGATCTGATTCTGATCAGATCAAAATATCGTCATCCTTGTCTTTCTTGTCGGAAGAGATAACAATATGTTTAAATGGAGATTACAGTCTCAGAAACCCACAGTAAATACATCTAAATTAATTTTTGTTTGTACTTACTGGCACAATATCTTGGCGTTTTCCCAGTTGACAGGTAAATTCTGGATTAGATACTCCTTGTCTTTGAAGATATAAGTCTCCCAATTTTGAGAGAACTCATGCGGAACTGTAATTATAAGAAACTAATACATTAAAATTTTATTTTTCATTGCATTTTTAAATGGTCGGTTCACCTGATTTTAGGTGTTTACAACTAACATTTGATACAAGCTTTCTATTTACACAAAATTACTTTATTATTGTGGTTATACACTGCCGTTTTGTAGCAGTTCAACAGTATCTCATGGTTACTGGATACTACGGGGTCAGACAAAATGCATTCGCTTGGAAGCGATTCCATAACAAACTGCCCAAAGGGTCGTGACAGACAGACGGACGGGCAACAAAGTGATCCTATAAGGGTTCCGTTTTTTTCCTATGAGGAACCCTAAAAATGTATAGATGTGACATTAACTTTTGATAAGTCACGTGATTGTCGCACGTCAGTTCTATAAATTTTTAAAACTCGTTATAGAATTGCTTCGGATCGAATACACTTTGTCTATCCTAACTGTATTTAATAGCCGACTTACAAATCCTACTACTACACTCAAAGTTTTTATGGCCACGAGTCCTTTAATTAAATTATGATTTTTGAACTTTGATAAGAGTTTGTACTACAGGAGGGTTGTACAGCGTGAATTCGCTACGAAACGATTCCATAGTGAACTTCAAAAATATACGGAACTGAGACGCGACAATCCCATGACTTTTCGAAAGTTACTGTCAGGTTCATACATTTTTGAAGTTCGTTATAGAATAGCTTCGCAGCTAATGCATTTTGTCTAATCCCTCTGTGGTATTCGTATGACAAGATTCTATCTTATGTGTAGCATTCGTTGTGCTATATTTGGCTCGTTCACGTACCGACACGTGTTGCCGGCTCAAAGGTCTGACATCGACTGACGTCCCCTCTCTCCGGCATGTACTTATGGCGTGTACGCACGAGACAAACAACACTACGTTTATGCATACACTACACTATGGTTAATATCCGTAAACATGCGTAATGACAGAGTATTCAAATTATTCGTCATTAACACATTGTTGACAGATATGCTTATAAATTCCAGGCATACCAACGTAACCATAAAAATTTACAACACGTACGTATAAATTATTAAAAATAAATTAAGTTGCCAACCAATAAACAATTTAAGTCTGATATTAATTATTAAAAAAAATAGTACTGACGTATATAACTAATATTATAAATAAGAAAGTTTAGATGGATGGATGTTTGTTAGAAGTTATCTCCAGAGCAGTTAAAGCGATCTCGTTAAAATTTAGCATAGATGTAGAAAATAGTATGGAAGAACAAAGGCTACTAACTTTTTTTTAATCTAACTAAAATTACTATTACTAAATTAACTTTTGCTACATCTGTTAATTGATTAAATATAAGTTGGTACTTAAAATTTTGCGAGTGTAAAAATGTGCTGGTTTTTCTGTGAGTTTCCACTGCCGAAACACCTGTACAAAACATATTGTTATCTCAGTATTTTAATTAAGAATAAAAGGGTAGTCAATATATTTTGGATAAGGTTTTTAGGCTGTGAAAATCCACTGGTTATTGGGAAAAATAGCAGATGAAACAGCATCCTAATTAACTAATATAGTATATAAGAAATAACATTACTGGTTAAATAATATTAAAACCTTTTTAGGCATACAAAAAAAACAAATTAAGGATATTACTATCAGAAGTGCAATAAGTTTGAAAAAACCCAACAAATAATAGAATAATGCAACTCTAAAACACTTATCATATGTGAGTTAAAAAGCATATAAATTTTTCTACGAGATCACAAAAATTAACACACTTTTTTACAGTGAAAATTATAAAAAAATAACACAACATACAACCTCTGTACTGTTCTCTGTAACTGGCACAACACATCGCGATGAAAAGAAAAATAATTAATATTTTAAATTTGGAAGACATGTTTGATTGAATGCACTGTTCGGCTCGGTTCGTACAACTAACTGACTTTGGCACAGGTGCAGGATAATATAGTTTTCTGGAATGTATAGAGGCTTATTGAAATCGAAGAACAATAGTTTATAGGTAATGAAAAGGGTCGCTATTCTCATAACAAAAGGTGAAATATACTTGATTTCATTGTATACAGCGTGTTCTTAATTCATAGAATCTTAACACGAGTATGATTTTCTAAATAGTATTGCACAATAATAAATTATTTTTTCGTTTTAATGGAAAAGGTGCAAATAGTCTTATAAAAAGTTAAACGCCTGAATTCAAGGATGCCATTATTGTACTTGATATTTTTATTAAAAATGCGAAGGTATAATACGAAATATTTTGTAATTTACGAGATTTTTTTGTATAAAAATTTTAAAATAAAAATACTACAGTCTAAAGATTATATTTCAGTTCATATATCTTAATTAACTTATATACCACTAAAAGCGGAAATGTAAATATAACTAAGTAAATAACATACTATTATAGCTTATACATTAAATAACTTAAGTATTAAGTATGTTTAAAATATTTTCGACTTAACTTTCTTAACTTTTTTAGTAAAATTATTTCTTTCTAAATTCCTAAGCGTTTACATTTTGAAACACGCTGTATGTGCATAATGTCTAAGGTTATTAGAAAACAAGAACACCTTTGTAATCTTTATAGATGAACACAATGATGAGTCAGCGAGGCATGTCATGTCGGGATGACCCAAGGATGAGCTCTTGAATCATCTCAATTGAACCATCGCATACCAGTCACTATATAATCAGCTGATAAACATTCTTTATCTAGGAATTCAAGCATACTTAAATTCGGATGTCATGACCGTAGTCTTTGGATATCCCGGGACCCTATTTTTCCCCCAAAAGGCTAAGTAACTTTTGAAGATTTGCCCTCTACACAAAATAAAAGGCTGCAGTCAAACATGCAGGAGCAGTGCGAATTGGTTTTATACATATCGTTAAATTTCTTTACAGATGTGTTAGTTGCAATGTGATGTTTTTTTTTTTATATAAATTCGAAAGATGGAATACACATTAGGACATGGCAAGGATCGAACCCAGAACATTGTTACAACTGCTTAACCACCTAAAAGAATTGTCCTTTCTTTAATCATCGTAAACTTAACTAGTAAACTATGTATTCTCCTAGACTATGTTCTACATCTGTGCCAAATTTCATTAAGATCCGTTGAACTGTTCTGGTGATATCTTTGAACAAACATCCATCCCTACATCTAAACATTAGCATTTATAATATTAGTAAGATTAAATTCAATCGCCTAAATAACGTGAATAAAACTTTGTCCTCAAAATAAATTAATATCATGGTCTGTATTATGCAATATAGGCCTATCTTCACTTTAAATTCAATAAATTATACTAAAATGTTTAAATTTAGTCTAAAATAGAACGAAGTCATAAACGTCATCGTTGTGATGACTGATGACGTAGTGTCGGCAATATCAAACACCACTATAATTTTAAAATAAATGCCTTGCAATATAGTCAGTCTCGGAGGCGGGAGAAAAGGTTTATGCAAGAGGTGTCGAATACTCTATATAAAGCATATTGCTATCTCAGTTTTATCAATGATAATTAGAGGGATGACGATATGTTTTATCCAGGGTATTACCAATCAAGTTATTAAACAATATTGCATAAAACATCCAAAACTTCTAAAGAAAAAAAGGGAAAGGGCAATCTAATAAAACATTTCTTGGTAAATCCATTGCTGTTGTTTTTTTCAACTTTCTTATTATATATATATATATATATATATATATATATGTATATATATATACTATAGTATATAATTATAAGTGTTGTTGAGAATAATAGACAAAACATTTAAGTTTAGTCTCAGTGTTTATTATTTAATAAAGCGCCAATAGCTTAGTGGTTCGGAATATCGACTGCCGATATTGCAATCATGGGTTCGAATCCTGCAATCTGATTATTCCCGTGAACTACATATTAACTTTAAACTTCGTTAGAATCAACGTAATATATTAGTTAAATACTATTAATAATCTGCAATAATATTTCATTGAAAAATTACTAACAGAAAATGTTGTGAAAATTCGTACTAAAGACGACGGAAAATAAGGAGAATGGAAAAGAGCGGTTTGTATTTGTTAAACTTTGGAAAATGATATAATAAAGTAAAAAGATAAAATGAAAATATAAAATAGAACAAGGTAATGAGATTAACAAGCACTGTTTGTTTGATGATATATTTACAACTGCTATTTTAAATAGCAACAAAGAAGGAAGAAAAACTACATTATGTTCGAAATATAAAAATATAAAAATTATAAGTAAAAAGTATAAAAAGGTCCCATATGTGCCGGCAACAAGTACCAAAGGGATAAAGTATGTTTTTTTTCATATCATAAGGTGGCAAACGAGCGAGCGACCACCTGAAATCGCTAATATAGCGAAGTGACCGTTGCCCATAGACATACGCAATCACATATGCGTTGCCTACCTTTAATCGACGGAGGAGAAGATGCACAGAAAGAAAATATCTTCCCTTTCCATGCATCCTCTCATTCGGAAAGTCCACTTCCATTTCCCAACCTTTCCATATAAGAGAAAGGTGGGAAGGGAAAGCGGACTAAATTAGGCCTCCGGGACGCACACTCATCAGACTGTACGCGGAATTGCTTCCACTTGACGCCTGTCTTCTGTGTGGTCGTGGTATTTCACCGGGCGAGCCGGGCCTTTTCAAATAGTCTGTCTAGCACCTTAATATAATTTTTAATTTAAAGCTATTAAAACAATGAGTTACGTAATATTTTTTAACGTATAAAGTATCAAGATGTCTCCGTCAGTTATTTAATTAGTGCAAGTATCTTGACAGTTGAAGTATCGGATTAGAAAGTTTTATTTGTACAGTACTAATGCGATATCTAGACTTTGAAAAAGGTTTGCTTAGAGTATTAGTCTACGCTAAAGGCACGCGTTAAATGCTTTTGTTTTTTTAAAAACTTAAAACAAACTTAAACAGTAATATTCTATTAAGTTGCCGTAAATGATTCTTTGTTATGAAAATTAGTAGTCAAAAATTCATCATCATCAGCTCACCACCCCCACTGAAGATCTTGGAGCCTACCCAAAGTTAGGGGTGACTAGACCTTAGTTACCCACGCTGGTCCAGTGCGGGTTGACTTCACACATATCTTTGAATCTCTTCTCAGATATGTGCAGGTTGCATCACGATGTTTTCTTTCATAGTGAGAACGTTGGAAGTGAGGTGAAAAAACTATAAAATAACATAAATAAACACCTTTGGTATGAACCCATCCACTTTACTACAAGACATTTTGTTTATAAATGATCCACAGAAATGAATAATAGAATGAATAGGATACCATAATAAAAAGGCATTTTGGTTATTTCAAAAATTACGAGCTTAACTCCAAAAGTATTGCGTAGCAACAAAAATGTAGCACCTAGTACGCGTAGCTCGTAGACGGTGTAACGTAGCACCCAGGCGTAGCAGTTGTAGACGAATACAGATTTTGTTAAAATTTCTTTACCAGTGTTTTATTTTAACAAGTTTTAAGAAATATCCAAAGGTATTTAATGACTAATTTTCACTATAAAAAGTTTAAGGGCCTTACTTTAAAAAATTGGACAATGTTTCAAAGACAAGTGTAAACATACGTCAATCTTTTTATACCGTGACTATGACGGCCATTTTTGACAAAACATGACTATTGGAATCATTGTTATGCATAGGCTTGCGAAATTAGTTCTTGACCAATAAATAATAAAATACTTATACCCAAAGTATATAATGTATGGTGATACATATTTATGTTGAAACATATAACCACTTTGACGTCCATAATATCCATCACCGGCGATCAAAGGTTTATAACCCATGTTACTCAAACATGAGTTTTAAACCGTGTCAAACTAATTTTTGGGGGGGGTAATACAGTAAAAGTTTATGTTGAACCTCAGACTCTTTCTACGGTATAACAATGTCAACATACACAGCCTTAATTTTAGTTGATAACATTTAAAATTATATACATATTTATGTATGTTCTGAGGTAATTAAAAACAAAAGGTTTATCGCGTTAAGCATCGTAAGGCGCGGACCGGGCGGGTATTCGACAAGTTTATTAAAGTTTAAAGAGCCAGGCGGTGTGTTACTCAAGCTGATCTCACGAACGAGCTTAATTAAGTAGCTCCCAAAGCTCCCGCGACGTGCGTTACACGTACCAACGCAGTAGGATACAGAAAGGCATGGAGTAGACAACTACTTAAAGCATCAAATAACTAAATACAGTTTAGAAGGTTGCTGTAAAAGTAATGATTCCAATTGAAATTAAAACTTAAATTATATTTTGTTGCGTGTCTTAAAAAAAAAAGAGAACATCTAATCTTTTTTTTTAATTAAAGTTATGTCTTATACTATCATTATCAATTATAAATTGTTATTAGAAAAAAGTTACGTTTAAAAATTGCCTTGTCAATAAGATTAAAAGAATATGAGACCGGTATAAAAGGATTTTGGATTTAAAAAAATATAAAACTAGACGACTCCACGGTATCCTGTGCCGCGCCGCCCACCTGTTACGGGTCGCGGGTCTGTAGTAAGCTGTAGCAGCGATAAAAAGCCCTGCGAACTGCTGCCGTCCTCACTCCCGCCCGAGCTTTCGATTGCGCTGCCCCAAGCTCACCACAAGCTCACCACATCTCACAACGTCTCACCAGTGATTAGTGACGCTACTTAACAGGTAAGTCTTAACTTGATAATAATAAAAATCGGTTTTAAAGTTCATTATAAAACATTTTATTTTTTTATTTATTGATAATTGTTCATTTTATTAATATATCGCAAACATTATAAAAAAAGCACTAAGAAATTTGTTTTTAATAGTTTTTTTTATGTTTTCTATCAGTTTTTCTATTTTTAGTAATAAATATATAATTATGTAGGATATAATGCATTGTTCTACTTTCTAAACATTTAAATTGGAAAGAAATCGTAATTAGAATAACAATTACAATATAATTAATACAATTTTATTATTAACTAGCTATCCCCCGCGACTCCGTCCGGGTGGATATATAAAAAACTTAATTAGTGTAGTCAGTCCACACATCCATCCACATAACATCCATCAAAACATTCGCATTTATAATATTAGTAAGTTAACAAAAAAATCTACTAATATTTTAGTAAAAAAAAAACAATACAATGCAATAATAGTAAAAATAATCTTATGAAAGTTTATCAAAAATAATACATTTCAGGAAACAATAATAATAAGTTCATAAACAAATTTAGAATTATTTAAAAAAACTTTTAATTTTTTTTTCGATATAAGAAACCATATAAAAACTATGTTATATTTGTTTGAAAATCATCTTTGCTTACTATCTTGATCGTTGAAGTCTATTACTTAAGAAATCCTCCTTTACAATAATCAATATAAGAACAATCTTAACAGTGTAATCTTATATATAAAATTCTCGTGTCACAATTTTCATTCCCATACTCCTTCGAAACGGCTTGACCGATTCTCATGAAATTTTGTGAGCATATTGAGTAGGTCTGAGAATCGGCCAACATCTATTTTTAATCCCGCGCGGACGGAGTCGCGGGCGAGAGCTAGTTTTTAATATAGAAAGGTGATCATTTTATATTATTTTATATATATATATCATCATCATCATCATCATCTTGCTACCTTTTTTCGCAATGAAAGTTCGATTCTGTCTACACTTTTTCTAACATCTCTGTAACCCATCATAATTGGATTCACTCTTTACGTAATCCTCTTTCACCACATTTCTTCTGTCTTCTTTTACCATTGTAACCATTGAAATTTTATCTATACTAATATTATAAAGAAGAGTCTGTTTGTTTGAACGCGCTAATCTCGGGAACTACTGGTTTTTTTTTATATCATAAGGCGGCAAACGAGCGAACGGCCACCTGAAATCGCTGAAGTAGCGAAGTGACCGTTGCCCATAGACTTACGCAATTGCATATATGTTGCCTACCTTTAATCGACGGAGGAGAGGATGCACAGAAAGAAAATATTTTCCCTTTCCATGCATCCTCTCATCCGGAAAGTCCACTTCCACTTCCCATCCTTTCCTTATAAGAAAAGGGTGGGAAGGGAAAGAGGACTAAATTAGGCCTCCGGGACGCACACTCATCAGACGAAACGCGGAATTGCTTCCACTTCACGCCTGTTTTCTGTGTGGTGGTGGTATTTCACCGGACGAACCTGGCCAATTCGTGCGAAGATGTTAAAGCGGGTTCTACCACTCTTAAAATTCGATCGGTCCGATTTGAAAAATTCTTTTTTTGTTGGATAGTCAATTTATAGAAGCTTTTAGGCTATATAACATTACGCTGCGAGCAATATTTTTTTTAATTCCGCGCGGACGGAGTCACGGGCGACAGCTAGTTTCATTATAATCTTAGTAATGTGTATAATCTCGCCGTATAGTATGTTCATACCACGCTATTCTGATTCTGCTCCGATTTCTTCTTTAATCAATTAGAGCTAAGAGAACCTTATAAATTTCCACAATGTCTACAGTTTTGTTGTAATAACAAATTATTACACTTCCAAATTTGGTTTTTCGCATCGTAATATCCATTTATTTCTACATGAAAATCTATCGTAAAAAATCAACTTTATTCGTCGCCGGTTCCATGGGCGCGGAATTAAAAAAAAAATTAGTAACTTAAAAAAAAAACATTTAATCCTTCCAATATCACAACACAATAAGCATAATCAGCACAAAAATAAATATAAAAGACACATAAAACATAACATTAATAAGAAACAGTTAAGTAGAGTGAATAGGCACTTACTAAGCTAGAGCGTACTTTCGACCAAATCTCCACTTCTCCAGGTGGGATCGTGGTCAAGCGCTAGCTTATAAAACGTAAAAAAAAACAGGAAATATTTACAAAGAGTGTTGCAACGCTGACTGGATAATTCATTACTTATGTCTTCTTCCAGACTATGTTCGAATATCCTTAATCCCTATTATTTTGTGATCTGCATTTTTATTATATTTTATCATAGACAATTCGAACAAAAAAAGCCAAAGGGATATGTCACGAACATTTGTTTGTTCAAACGACAAACAAACTGTTTGATTTTTCAGTTAATCTTGGATTAACTAAAATGTCAATACAAATAATTCGACAAAATAACATCAAACAATAATAGAGAAGTTAGAGTTAGAGATACATATATACATACTCGTATATATAAAAGAAAATCGTGTTAGTTACTCTATTTATAACTCAAGAACGGCTTTACCGATATGCCTGAAAATTGGTGAGGAGGTAACTTAGAGCCAGGAGACGGCTATGTCTCCTGGCTCTAAGCGATACGATTTATTCATTTTTTTCTATTTTTTTTATTTAACTTACTAATATTGTAATGTTTGGATGGATGTGATGTAGATGGATGGGTGTTTGAAGATATCTCTAGAACGGCTGAACGGATCTCCATTAAATTTGGCATACGTATAGAACATAGTCTGAAAAGCACATAGGCTACACTAATTAAGTTTTTTTTTATAAATCCACGCTGATGTAGTCGCGGGCGACAGCTAGTTTATTTATACAAATCAAAGAATGCTATGTACTTATGGTTTTCCCCTTTTAACCTTTATTACTTATCTATGTACACTATCAATCAATTACAGTATAATAAGATAAATTAAATAATAAGGTAAAAGGTTGTTTACTCAATAGATGAACAAACAAACAATGTAATAAAAGGATTCAAACATTTTCTTGCTTCTAACATATTGTCCTTTTGAAAGAAATCCTTCAGTCCTCCGAAATTGTAGGTAAAATTAAATTATTTTTTATTATACTGCCCAATTTGAACTACAAATGCTTACTAATATTATAAAATAGCCGTTGCCCATGACTCTTTCCGCGCGGAATTAAGAAAATAACTTACTTAATAACTTATGTATTCTTCCAGACTATGCTCTACATTTGTACCAAATTATATCAAGACTCGTAGAGCCGTTCCGGAGATACCTTCTAAGAAACATCCATCTAAAATTTCGCACTTTTAATAATAAGTAATATAATTAATTTCTTGTTTAACTTTTAATAACGTAAACTATAAACCAGTCTCAGAGATATTAAACATTTGTGTTAAAAAAAATATATTAAAATAACTTTCAACTTAAAATAATACTTACGTATTTTTTTTTCTTTTCTTAACGTTTAACATGTTATGTGCTCGTAAAATATTTACGATGTGTGTAAATCTTAAATGTAAATTAGAGACTTTAATTGAATTACGAATAAAATGTTAACAGCGAGTTAAATGTTTTTAATTAACGTTTAATTTGGGAACGAGATCTCATTGTGTTTTTAAAATAGGGGTATGTTTTGCATCGTCTTGTGTGTTATAATACTGAACGTATGCGTAAAACTTGTTTAAAAGTTAGGTAGATTTACGTGGGTTTTCATTACCGAAACAATAGTAGATAACATGTTATCAATCTTAAATATACTTCAAGAAATAGGTGTATGTCTTGGTCATATCAAACCTATATATATTTTTATCTGAGTTAAACCAAGGTCATGATGTTCCTCTCCTAGCTCTACAGACCTTTTCCAGCAACTTCTCCAGGCTATCTCTGGACACGGACACCCAATTTGTTATGCCCACTTTTTTCGCGTCTCTATTTACACCGTCTATTCATCGGAGCTATGATCAGAGCGCATGATCTTGTATTAACTATATTTCTTGAAAATAATAATTTACCGTGGGTTTCAGAGACCGAAATCACTTTTTGAAACATATTGTTATCTCTGGTTTGTTGAAGATAAAGACAGGAATGACGATATGTTTTATACAGAGATTTTGGTCTCAGAAACCAAAGGTTAGCGTTCTAAATATTTCAATTAATCTATATATATAAAAGAAAAAGTCGTGTTAGTTACACTATTTATAACTCAAGAACGGCTTTACCTTTATGCCTGAAAATTGGCGAGGAGGTAGCTTAGAGCCAGGAGATAGACATAGGATACTATCTATTCATTTTTTTTCGAATTTATGCCTTGAAGAGCTGCTTTTTATCTAACTTACTAATATTATAAATGCGAATGGATGTGTGTTTGAAGATATCACTAGAACGGCTGAACGGATCTCGATTAAATTTGGCATACGTATAGAACATAGTCTGAAAGAACACATAGGCTACACTAATTAAGTTGTTTTATATATCCACGCGGACGGAGTCGCGGGCGACAGCTAGTAATAAATAGTTTTCATGTAAACATGTTTCATATGATGTAGTTACAATCAAAAGCAATTCTATCTAATAGTAAAATCTTTACTAAATTGTAAGCCAGTATAGTATTATGAAACTGTTTAATATGTCAACAAGCATATTCTAATTTCGCAGTTTGAATTTTAAACGTTAAGTGTGACCAACTCAAAGGCGCGAATTCAAAACGCGTCGGATATTATTTTCACGCATGGCAACACTTTAACGAGAAACGGAACGTGCAAGATGGCGGCCACGTAAATACCCGCCAATGTTAAACTTTTAGTTTCTTTGTAGAAGGTCACAACTAAAAGTTTATGCAGAGTTGTCGTGTTTAATTCTTGAAATGTTTCGGGAATTTTCTCGAACTTTCTGAATTTATAACAATTTTATTTTAAAACTAGCGGTCCCGGCTATATTCTATAATATATCTATGTCAAATTTATTCTACTTACAAACAAAC